CGGTTTTGTTAGTTCTACTTTGATGAACACCTGATAAAAGTTCTTTTTCAGTAAAAAACCTTGAGTCTGAGATCCTGAACTCAGGTTAAAAAATACTTTATTTGATGTATTGAGATTAAAGTAAATTAATAAGTATAAATTTAGAAATTAAAATCAATGAAAAATAGGTGCAAGATCAAAATAGGACTTACAAAGATATTTTTACATAGGCGGTGTGAATGTCGTACAATTCAATGTACTACGTAATAATGACAGCAACACAAATGAAAGGTTAACGATAAGATTCACCATTCCTTAACAACACAAATATAAAAGGTTAAAGATAAGATTCACCATTCTCTAACGGAAGATTTGGATTTTTGATATACAAATCTGAATATAATTAAAAACCAATTGTTCAGAGAACAATTGAAGGTCTTTCCACCAGTAAGGATCTTTTTTGATATGAAATATTAAAATTTGGTTTTAAATGTCAATTCCAGAGTCAAATGACAGCTTATTGTACGCTGATTCCAAAAATATATGGTTTCTATACAAAAAGATATAAATAAGGGAGATATTTGTTTACTTCCGGTTTGAAAAATGTCACTTCTGGTATTGTTTGATAGTTAACTTGACACTGATTCCAAAAATATATGGTTCTATATACTTTTACATTAATTTAATACAAAAAATAGCTTCTTCCGGTTTACAAAAGGTCACTTCCGGATTGACTTTTCAAGTTCAAATGTCTTGCAACCTAATGCAAAAAGTCCCATGGCTTTATCATGTATACTTATGAGGTAAAAGCAAAGGTCAAAATCTAGAACGTTTAATTTACCTATGACCTTGAGCTCAATTTCAAGGTCATAAACCAAAGACCTCAAATCAAAAGACCCTAGGTCTTAATTATATATGATAAATGAGTTATATCATCATACGTGTAATTTTAAATATGATAGGGGAGAAAACTCCCATTAAATGTCTCTGAACGCTTTCAATTCATATTTACCTGGTACGACATATCGCAACTAACAATTCTGTAAAATATTATGTCGATATCTTATAAGATTTCTGAAAATTAGTGATAAGCCAAAATCAAAATTTTGAACATGACCTTGACCTTTGACCTTGACCTCATTTCCTTTTTTTGGACCAAGGACCTCAAATCAAAAGACCCTAGGCCTCTATCACTTATGGTTTTCCAGTTACAAATACATTTCACATATATCAAATACAAAAGGGGAAATAACTCTCATATGGAGTCTTCGTAAAGCTTCGGTCTAAATAAAACCTAACATCCTGAGGATATAACGAGCAATTTGGAAAAATAAATTTGTCGCTTTCTTTTACGGTTGCGGAGGAGATCTCATAACAAGAAAAACAGTGTTTGGGGAGATAACTCTTACAAAGAAAAGTGTTCGGTTAAACAGGGTCAGTTTCAAAAGCGTATAGACTGTATGATATCATATACCAAAAAACCAAGCGACATCTTTTGAAACAAAAATACACCGCAAGAAAAAAATTAGGCGGAAGAAAAAAAAAATAATCAGAAGAAAACCAATAGGTCTTTCCACGGAAAGGTGGAAAGACCTAATTATAATACCTAATACTCTAGTGTTAATCATTTATCTAAATTATTATTTCCCTTGTCTTTTCCTTCTTCCTTTCGCGTTGACGAATGAAAAGAAGCTTAACGTCTAGTGGTAAATATTTCAAACACCTTCCGACCAAGAATAAATTAGCAATAATTTGCAAAGTGGCTCGACCTGGATGAAGGCTTGAAGCAGACCAGCAACGGACCTTCAAAGACTTGTTCACGAGTTGTTTAGCGTGCAGAAAGCATTGTAGTATCTCTACACGGGTTATAGAATTTAACATCCCAATCCCGACCTGACGTGGCTGTGTATCTATACATCCCCATCCAGAAACGTAAAACGTATTCTCCTCAGTATCGCTTTTAAATGTCGTTTGGGAGAAGTTCATGTCGTGAACATATCATGCACAACCCTCATTTAGTGTCTTGCTGGCGTACTGATAAATCTAGAAATTTATATTCCATAGCGACAGTTGACGTCTGCTCAATATATAAATTGACACATTGAGTGCAATGTAACACAAATGTTTTATACCTAGTCTTAACCTTTTAAAAAAAGCTGACAAATATGGATAAACTCACTGAATTCATATTGTAACAACGCTTACCCCTTACCATTAAGAAAAGGATATATGGTACGATTGACAATGAGACAACTATCCATAAAAACCAAAGGACAATTACAGGTCACCATACGGTCTTCAACAATTAGCTAAATCCATACCATATAGTAAACTTTCCAGTTCCATTTCTGCTAGGACGGTTGAAATCGTACAAGAAAGCTTTTGAAAGCTTGAAGTCTAGTGAAAGACACTTAGTAAGAAGTAGGTCAACGCCAATTGGCAAATGAAACTAAGTCAAAGTAGTTTGGACTTACATATCTACGTTACTACAATCACTTATCAGCGCAACATTACACAAATCTGACATAACATAAAGTTCAGGTAGATATTTACGTGGACAGCCACATTGCTAATTTTAGTTCAAAATTCTTACTTCCTTCACAATGGTGGCCTTGTTCAGCGGGGACTTCGGATATAATATAAAAACTGGATAACACGAGGATGCGGGTGAATGGTAATGAATACAGTAAGAGAAGATTTTTTTTTACAGTTTAATGGACTGAAGCAAGACTATGTGATGGTACCGGCCAGCCAGATAAACTAAAAACAATGAGAGCAGCCTTTTTGCATTGATCAACTGTAACTTTTTGAATATAATTTCATAAAATTCTATTTACACGAGCTCGGATTTGAACTGTAAACGGTGCAAATGGTTAGAAAGAAATCAATATAAATCGCAGTTATATATATATTTACAATTTTATCTTAAAAGGATAGATTTATATGAAAATGCAAGATTTCAAAGTGTGTAGAATACAGTAACTAATTGAAAATATGCTGGTTTTTATATTGAATATATGTTATATAGGGAGTTTTTTCCCCAACCATTTGTATTTCCCCTGGCAAATGGGATATGTAAAATAATAGCAGGGACCCCTCTGTCAGCTGCCCTGAACTGCTTAGGGTTTATGTATTCCAGATGATTTAAAATAAAATACATTATTCACTTGAAAAAAAAAAATCATATTGATTTTACCTTCCGAATAATTCGAGAACCACCGATGAGTTTTATGTCGACAACATGATCGTCTGGCGTTCTCAATTATAATCCTGGTATATATTTGATGTCTTTTTCCTACCGATACCATGTTTATTGCAATCTGTCGGCAAAATTTGGTGTAAAAACCATAATCCCTACACAACTAAACATTATGTTTTATACTGTACTAAAATAGAGGATGTAGACAGCAAAAGGAGAATCAATACTCGTTAGTCGAAAAAATGATAGACAAAATCATGGCAACCCACCCCTCCTCCCCCCTCCCCCTTCCCCAAAAAAAAAGGGACGAAAAGACAAACAGACTATAACAAAAAAACAATACTAAAACTAAATTAATACTGTTGAACACGAACCATACCAAAATCCAGTGGTGATATCAGATACTTCTGAATGGTAAGCGTATCCAGCTTCAAAAGTGGCAACCGTCGTGTTGCTCATGGTTAGACGGACATTTGGTCCCTTTCGGTGATGTCACAATTTGGGAAAAGAGGACGCGAGAATGGCTACGACAAATGAAACAAGCCCGTGGTCATCTGTGACAAAGATGTTGAATAATATAAACCAACTTATAATGGCACCCATAAAACTCCGAAGGGATGATTTCAACTTGTTGGATCTATCATACTTCATATGATATGTAGACCATATTTTCAAAACCTAAGATAGATGTATGAAATGCTGCACGCGTATGTACTGATAGAATATTCGATTTAGAAATCTGTCCAGGCATCACGTAAATACTATACAAAAAATATAGGAACATTTTACTCCAATCTTTACTGGACACTGATTGTATGTTCTCAAGGTCGAATAATATCCAAACCATTTCTCACATACTGGTAATATAATTGTCATGTACACGATTTACAATGTTGTCATGACGTATCCACCACATCAAAAGAGAGAACGCGTAGAAAAAGATGAAATTCTTTGCATTTTCTACTTTATTTTTTTCTTATAATAAAAAATGATAACTATTCCGACAAGAATTCAAATATGAAAAACCAAACGACTCATGCCCAAACAAAGCAAACGATTGGCTCATGCGCTTCGTTGTTTGGTCACTCGTTCAACATTTTTCGACAGTTGTATTCTTGGATTAGGTATTTTTTTTATTATTTGACTGGAAAATTACGGTATTTCATCGCAAACAATGTGAATAGATGCTTTATCATCAAATATGACTCAGAATACTAGCATATCGTATTTTAACATTGTAATGCCACGGATGACACTATTGTAGTATGGAGAGCAACCGACTTGGTGAGATTCGCGCTGTTCAAACTTAAGTTACATGTAAGTTTTCTGTGTAGTGTTCTGTTATTTGTTTGTCTTTCTATTTCTTTGATCATGATGTTATCTGCATTGTCGATTCGACTTTTAATTTTTTATTTACTTCTTTGTGTCTTATAATTGTTTTTGATTTATTGTTTATTGGATAAAGGGTGAATGTCATGGATTTTGTTTTGAAGTGAATGATAGATATTTTGTTAGTTTTGTTGAACGTTGATCAAAATGTTTGTTTCGAAATCTTCCTTTTAAGCACTTCATTCTATCAAAAGTGTTCTACAAGTCAGTGTTTATGACACATACATTTGTGCATTTCGAGTACAATTCCATACATGTTTTACATTAATATTTTGTCTTTCTTGGACGTAAGGAGATGTGGAGTATAAATCAATGATAGTAACGATATCTATAGTGCTCTATTTGTTTTTTGAACAATCGTTCTTATGTTATCATTTCATAAGCCCTAGACTGCTTGTACATGCTAGTATGCTGCATTAAAATAACTAAGACATGTTTTCCAAAGATTTATTTTGTTAAAGATACAATTAAAAATTCTCCACGTTAGAAACACCTCGTAAAATGTACTTTCAAGTAGAATTTATTGATCATATTCATTTTTCCTAGGATTTGAACTTTAATGTAATCCATTTTTGTTCAATGCAAAAGTTTGAAATTAATTTTCTATTTAGAAGCTATATGACTAATAAATGACAACATAAGTTGGTTAATGAGGAAGAAAAGAGGATTCGTTAAAAATATTTCATTTTGTTCGACAAACGTTATTTGAAAGTACAAATTATATGATTTTAATTTTAAAGGAGATATATAAGAAAATACATAATACAAATTTGCAAGGTTTGAAAATAAAACTTCAAAGATCTGTAGGTAAATGTCAATAATAGTATTCTTATTTTCATTTGTCCCATATTTATTTAGCATCTGTGAGAAATTGTAGGAAAAAGTAAAAAAAAACTATTAACATGACGCAAGTTTGATATTTATTATTGATTCGCATGTCCTCATAACAATCTCTAACATAGAGAAATTAGACCTCAGTATAGATTTTACCTTATTGAATTTCTGCATAAGGATTATTTTAATTTAAACGTTTGTTTACAGAACAATTTAAAATCAAAACAGAATAAACTTAACCCAAAATTGTTTGAATTTAACTAGTACAAAATAAACAGACAATTTTGAATTGGAAGATCAAACACAATTATTTACATCTTCACTTTCCCTGTGCGTTTTAAAAGCATGTTAAACACACGAAACAGTCATAGCGGTAGCAAACTCTATACAATCTAAGAAACACATATTTTATCATGCTTTCTACATTTTACTTTTTTAGAATTTAATTCGAGAAAAAATAAGGAACTTTTAAGACTATTGAAAAATCTTGTTTTACAAAATACATTTGTTACAAGGATATTTGTTTTTGTCTACTATAAAAGAAATGTTCAATAAGGTTATCTGGTACTTATACAACAAAAACGGTATACATGTGTAATTAGAAAAGTTTAGCGCCGTTGAATATCAACATCAAAATAAGTTTTTATCAGCTACAAAAAACCTTATTTTCCTATCGCATTTATACTGAAATAAACAAGAACTATTTCAATACATTTTGAATGTTTATGCATTGTCATACAATTTTTAAGAATTTTCAAATTAGACTGTTTATTCATGACGTCAGAATATCACAAAGGAAATTAATCCGGCCAACAATAATGCAGTATTATAGTAGTTTTCTACTATACAGTAGGGAGACTACATTACATTTATTGGGCTACCTTTAAAAAAATCGAAATTGCTACCTAGGTAACAGACAAAATTATTATTTCTCCCTATGCGAAATATTCAAGTTTCAAAGGTTTTCCTTAATTTCTGCATTCTATGTTTCACTCGACATACTTCTCTCGTGACACCCCACCCCCAACCCCCCAAAAAAATGTATATGCACGTTTTTGTAAGTTTTTCTTTTGTTATATGTGCTGAAAAATATTTAGATCTAACATTTAAAACAAAATAACTTAATAATTTGCAAGATGTAATTCCAAAATATCAAGTCATTATATTGATATCATCTATTCCTGGTAAAAAGTGTTAACAAACTTTTTACGATCATCATGGTGACTTTCTACATTTTTTTAAGTATTGTTCCATCTGAATTAGGCCTCGCATAAATTTTTCATATAATAATTATGAATTTGTATTATGATTAGTTAAATTTCATGACAAAGAGCCAATCGTTATAATACTACCCTTAATGAAAGGTGTGTCGAAATACAAATTCATAATTATAGCAAAAGAGATAGCTGGCGAATTTTTGGGCCTTCAGAATCTTTCTAAATTTCTTCATTGTTTCATATGTCATGTTTGAGGCATTTTACACTGAAATATCCATAAAGCTTAATTATAGTAAATTTTCATCGCACCGATTGCAAATCTTTTATCAGTCACCATGAGGACAATAGGATCAGAACAATTTTAACTATTGTCTTACAATTATTAGGATTTGTGAGCAGTCTATACAACGCCTATGGTAATCCATGTTTCAATCGCCAGCTATCTCGATCTAACTCCTGTTGCAATTTAAATAACTATTTAAACATATAGTTTGCACATTGTTTTGTTATTCAATATTAATACCAGAATCACACGAGCCATCAAGGTCCAACAATTTTTGACTGACTTCTTCCAGCAGATTTCCCGTCGTCCACAGTTTGTCGTTATTCATTTGATTGTTTAAAACTTTTGAATTGTCTAATTGGTATGTTACAGAGTCACACTTTGTTTCCACTGAGTCACATTTGTGGTTTTCTGATGAACTTGTTTTCACCTCCTCGTCTTCAGATTGGAATACCATGTCTGTGTCTGATAAGGATATATCTGACTCGCTAAGATCACATGAGCTTGTAGAGAATGATCTGCTGTTATTTCTGCTTCGCCACTTCAAATCTTCTATGGCTTCGTTGAGAGTTAAAAGTTGTTTCATTAATGATAGGTCTTGGTCCATAAGAGAAGCCTTAAAAAGACGTAATAATAAATCTTAATATCACCTTTATGTTACATTGTATGTAATTTTTCAATAATTTAGAAAATTTAACCTATATATGAGAATGAAATTACACAAAATTAAATCATACACTCGCTTAATAAACTGTTTTGCAGATTCTGGTTTTGTTTTTGAATATCATATCATTAATTGCAAATGAACTAACCAAACTGAAATGATAAATCATATAATAATGTAAAATAGATAAGTCGTCAGAAGCATACACGACGAAAGGAATCTGTTAAGTTTACGTCGCCGCCTGTTAAATCCATTTTCAAATTTATATTTTTTGTAATTATATCAATGTTTTAATAAGAATTATATTACATGTAGAAAGTTTTTTTTCTGTAAAGTACTTGTAGCTTGCAATATCTTTTGATTCAATTCCGTTCCCACAACGTTATTATGTCAAAAGTTAAGAAAGTTAAAACTTTTCAGCGACATGCAGAGAATATTACAACAGAGCTACAAACTAAACTAATGGATCATAACTTTCATCCCTTAACTAGTACAAGTACTTTTAATAAAAAGCGGTTGTGTAAACCGAAATTTATAGTATTTTCAATCAAATATATATGTACCGTGTAAGAATGAACATTTGGCTAATGGTTACATTATACAATAATTACAATGTTTTGTGTTTTAATAAGTGGATGCGCAACTTTTGCATATATCAAAGTCAAAATACACTTTAAATAAGTACCATTTGAATGTAGTCTGTACCTTGAAAAGGTTTCTTTATCGTAACTAATCGACTTTATAAAGCTTCCTGGTATATTTACTTAACATTACAAACATGCTTTTAAATTGCGTAATAAAAACATATTCGACCATAGTGTTCAAGGAACAAATAACAAATAACAATATGACCTTGTTGTGCTTAAAAATACTTATGTAAACCTAGTATTACTTTTTCAATATACTATATGTCATTTAAATAAACAATAAACTCATCCTTTTAAATTTTAATCAAGGTAAAACAAATTATCTTATTAAAATGTACAAGTTAAGCATTGTACAGAATATGCACCATGTCTTAACAGTGTCCTCTGAATAAATGTTTGTGTTATTCAGAAACATGCACGTAAACTTGAGTCCTCAATATAATATAAGTATTTATATAGGATATGGGTGTAAAGAAGGAAAGGAAATGTCTTATTCTAATTAGAAATTCAATATTTCGCTGATACGCACTTCCTTTATATAAAATAAACATCTAACACCTTATAAAACAGAGGAAGTCATTGTGGTTTGAAAAACTATTATGTTTAATCGATCCATTCACACCTTAATCACCCTTATGCAAAGAAGCCCCGTTGAGTTGTATCACTGTGGTTTGGGCAAACTCGGACTAGTTTCTCAAATAAATTAATCGGCCTCAATTGCCTGGAAACGACCTTTCTCTCCGTTACTGCACATTACGCTCTGTCATTTGCACTGGTCTTTCTATCTTAAGACCAAATTTTACGTGTTGGTTATCAGTAAGTGTTATTGAAAACAAGTATATCTTGTTCAGCGGCTTATCAGAAGAATGTATGACAAGTATAGACAATTTACTTTAAGTGGCAGCTCTAGTGGGTTAACACTGAGACATATCAACAGATTATTCGTCACGTCTTTGGTTTATTGTACAAAATGTATTCATAACTGATTTCCCGGCCTACATACTTTATGTTATTATTAACCTTTGTAAAATACAATATTTATCAAGAATATCAGTATCCAAATAATGAAGTTTCTAAGCCCAAAGTAAATGTCTTTTTTCTAATTTATTTCTTAAATCATGTATTGTTCGATAAGATAAATCCTTTCTATCTAAATCCTACCAATAAAAAGCTCCCCTGGTGTCTGTCAAGAAATTTAATTTAATTTTTTTCTTCAATAAAATCGCTAGCATTATGTATGCACTCTAGCTAGGTAGTTTAGGGATACTGTACTCTTCGCCGGTCCGTCTGTCACGCTCTCATCTACAGTTAACTGTACTCTAAATATTGAATTTGTTGTCTTAATTATTTGGTAGAATAATACCACATCACCTTGCTAAGCGTATTAAGGTTTTAGAAAATTGAAATTCTTATTTACGTCTCCATTCATAGTAATACGATCTGATGTTTTTGGAAGATAAACACTGTTTATCTAAGAACTTGATTGTTTGTGCATCTTTTAGGCTGAGATTTCTTTCTTCTTCATTGCTATCAATTTAATTTTTAATAAGCAAGTGTTAATTTCAAACAGGGAGTACAATATGGAATGGTAGGAGATGGACTTGTTTATAAACATTTTGCTCTTATTAAAATTTTATTGAAAAATGATAATTGTCTTATAAATAAATCAAAGAATCTTTATAGGGAAATAACTTTTGCAAAGATGTGTTGGATTCATGGGGAGATACATAAACTTGATATTACTGCAAACTAACCTCATTTTACTTTGATTTGTGAATATTCCCCATTTAGCAAAATATTTAGACCAAATACCTCCCACCCTCGCTAAACGCAACCACGTTCAAAATTTCTCGAAAATAAGTACGATAACCTATTGAAATTGAATGTGTGTGTGTGTATATAACTCTATTTCAGCATTTTGAGAAGATTCTACGGTAAATTTTAAATAAAGTTTCTGTTCACCGTAAAAAAAACAACTGAAAATAAACCTTAAAGTGGTAATTGATAAAAGTTTGCAATAGCAACTTTAATATACAAAAGTATTTATATGTACAAATGGATTTATAATGATGTGATTGAACTATTGCCATAAGAATCAAAAGTGAAATTCAATAATCTTATCAATTATAAGGCTAATGTTTAAATGCTGTAAAATACCAAAAATAGAAAAAACCTTTTCAATCATAAATAAAGATGACGCCCTTGTCATTTTTGTTTGATAAATATTGAATCTATGACGACACGTCAATGTTATTCTTTGTTCAAAGACAATACGTATTGGATAGTGTAATGAGGTTTTAAAATAGGCGTTTAAAATATCAGATATTCATGACGGGGCAAAACATCGAAATTTTAAACCATAAACGTTTCTTTATGTATTTTTTTATAAACGTGATCTTCTTGAACTGAAATTCCTTTGGAGATATAGATAACACCAGTGATTTAATGTCATCTTTGTAGCCTCTACAGAAGTAAAAGCTTTTCAGATTTTATAGGGATATGATAAAGCGATTAGCAGAAGGGTGACACACATATCTATGCAATAATGCAACAAAACTTTTGGAAAGCTTTATATGGCAGAAATAAGACACGAAAGTTCCTGAATAAAAATGTCTTCTCTGTCAATTTTAAACTTCTTCTAAAAAGAATGCACACCAAATTTTTATAAAATAAGGAGATGTGGTATGAATGCCCATGAAACAACTATCCACCAATGAGCAAAATCCATACCTCATAGTAATATGTAAAAACTAACTGCTAATTTATGACACAGAATGTCATTAAATAGAAGTTCCTTTATAATATAAGTTCCAAATGGAATAAATATTCTATAATATTATTTCCAATAGGAAAATAATACTATATTTGTTCCTAAAGGAATAAATGGTATAGAAGTTTTAATCCAACAGGAACAAATATTATGATATTATTTATAACAGTTTCAAGTGGAACTTCTGTTAGGCGGAACAAATATACATGACAGTGCAACCAACGAAAACAACTGCATTACAGAATCCTGGCTTCGAACAGGCCCATATAGAATATGGCGTGCCTTCTATAGCTGAGTATACGATATGGGTTTCTCGGCTTTATGTTAGTTGTTTCTATGCTTCGTGCCAATCGGATGAGTGAAGCCATATTCAATTATTCTAACAGTTTGCTCTTATGTTGAGCTGTTACACCACAGCTCAGGTTAGGGGAGGGTTAAGCGCTCACAACACACCAGGGAAATAATATCATCCTTGATGAAACATCTGCACATTTAGTATACATGATGATTTGGATACTTCCAATGTTTGTACTGATCGTAAGGCCTTCTTATCGGCCATGAAGAAACTTAGGTTTCAATAAATTGTTTTGGAAATCAGTTTCATTTTTCCTGAAGCTAAGTCACTATAACAAATTCAGCAGAAAAATGTCAGGAAGGTTCTTCATATAATCCCTTTACTGTTATAAGGACATGATTTAAATAATATATTTTAATGTAAATTTCCAGTTTATTATGTACTTGTACTAAAAATAAGCTTGAGACTTCATGAGTAACCATAGCTGTACATATATAGCAATATATATTCAGTTATGTTTCAATTTTTCAAAAACAAAATCAATGTTAGTACGATTAAAACAGTATTTAAAGATTTCAGTACGGGTAACCTTTAAGTATAAGTTTATTCAAATGATCAATGAGTTTACATGGGTCGATTCTAAATCTACGGCTATATAAACAACATCACCGTAAAAATTAGGATGCGATATCCCGTTTTAATAAAAATTCCACAGGAACAGCCCAACTTTCAAAGCAGATTTTTGTATCTATGAAAAAATATGTCCAATATATTGCTGATGTAAACCTTTGACACGAACTATCTTATATTTCGACGAGACATGTTGGAAATACAGCGCTTATAATTTTAACTTTTTATATTTACATTTCAAGTGACATAACTCCAAAAACGATCGATTGGTCCTGAATTGTAAGCTCATAAAATATATTGGCTGATGTAACTCTGACGTACGTTTTACTTAAAGTCAATAAAAAAAAACCGTAGCAAGAGCGCTTTCAATGTTGAATTTTCATTTTATCTACATTTACAAGGTACAAAAGTCCTCCAAAGTAATCGATCAGATTTTCTAAGTGTCCGATTGATTGCTTATGTAAACCTATAAATCAATCTAGTCTAGTTTCAGTTGGTTTAGAAGTTTCAAAGTAGATGAAATTTGAAAAAAAATTACGACGCAAGACAACGGATTCAATTGTTTGAAAAAACACACTTGTCTCTTTGGCCAGATGAGCTAAAAATCACATCGTTTTTGAAAAGTAAATTCCTTTTTTGACTTATTAAACCCAAAATGTAATTTTGATATTTAAAAAAAAAAATGTATCATAATTCATTTAGTCACAGAAAAAGTGGTCATGAAAGTATAAACAATCTAACAAAATAAGAAAGAAAATAATATAAATTGTATCGAAAATAAAAAGTTTGTCAATTTTTTTACGTTTCTTATTGAAACTAAACCGCATGTAGAAACAAGATTCCATTTGTGCCAGTTCATATAATAACTAGTATTTTATGGAATAGTATCTAATGATATAGGGAAAATTACTAGATGTCATATAAAATATGAAAATAACACACATATTCTTTGTGTCCGAAGCTCTTTTCTTGATTTTCCATCACCAGTTACGCTCAAAACCAAATATTTGAAAGCAAAAGATTTACAAGTACCAAAATATAAGAGCCATATGACCAAAATAGAGCAAAATCCATCTTAGGTTAACTTTGCCTGAGAGATTTTGATATTTAATTTCCCTACAAATTTTAAATTTATAAACGAACAATTTAAGAAATATACGTTATAAATCATTTCAGAATACCGAAACAATGACTACTTAATGCACTTCCCTAATTATATCTGTTTCATTTTTGCTGTGAAAAAAAAAATTTGGTAGAGGAATTTGTGTTCTGGTATGTTTGATATATTAACAGAACTTCCTTGAGAAAATCTTTATTTTGATGGTAATTTGGTGCCAGATTGTGCTGCAAGTGTAATAAAGTGCATGATGCATGTTATAAACATAATAGATTTCAGCTGCGCTAAAAATATGGGATGGTAAAAGTAAGTAATTTACATGTATGTTGCTGATCAATTACAAACAAATTTCTCCTTATTTTTATATTAATCAGAAACATATGCTGGTTATATTTTTCTCTTTATATAAAGTGTATATACATAGTATATCGTTATGTCTGGATTTTTTTTATTCATTATTTTACTTCTTCCAAACAAAAAAAAGAAAGAAAGAAAGGAAACATAAAGTATAAACACAAAAGATTAACTGTTAAGTTATAAGTGTATAATATCAAGGGTTATAAAGGCAACACACAAATTGACAAATATAATAATATAAAGTACTTTATAAAACTAAAGCTTACCATTTCATTTCCCAGTTTTTCCATCGCCTCGTCAATTGAAGATCTTTTCCGTTCTTTTCCTGGCACTGGAGAAAGTCTTTGTTTCACATTTTCTGCTGTTTCCATTCTTTTGTGGTAAAATTCTCTACATTTGTTAGACAACTCTATTCCAGCTGTATATTTATCATTCATTTCACATTCCATTTTAAAAGTTATATTGGCCAAAGGCTTTCGTTTTAGATTCTATTGCTAAATTACAACCGCTTGGTCACGTAATATTTGTCAAGTTCCGAAGAGAACTTTCGTCTATCGTCGTTGCTTTATTACTGAGGTGAACTCGGTATACGTTAGTTTATAAATTTAGATATGTAAACAGATATTAAAATAGGGCCCACTTAATAAGTTATCGGCAGCTATTTAAAATGGAACTTTGCGGATGAGTCATTTATCAGACGAATAAATCTTTTGACTATTGACAAATTATTAATTAATTGTGATATTAAAAATTTTCTGAATTAGTATATTAACGGGACTGATTAAATCACATTAAATCGTTTGACAGATGATAGTATGTTTGGCGATTTTATTGTTGAAAGGATTGTTCGCCATTAGACGGCTATTCAGGAATTCATAGGTGTTTTTCCGAATGGATTAATTCGTATACAGAAAAATCATATCAAAGTTTTAATATGATTATCATCAATCAGAACAATATTTGAATAATTAATCAACCTATCCTGATCTCGTTAATCTTGTTATGTTACAACAGGAACTTTTGCAATATGAATATTCGATATTTGCAATTTAGAAGTACATGTCGATATCTTAAAGTTTTATAGATTCAAGATTCAATATTTTATTAAAGTCTCACCACTTAAAATACTAAAATATTGAAAAACATATATAAAACATATAGTATATTAAAACTAACAGTAAAATATCATTAGCTTAAATACTAAAACATATACAAGCGCCATTCTATTAAGAATTATGAGAGACTATTAAATGATTAATCATATACAATATTTAACATAATTTTAAAACTATATATATCTAAGATTTAAAATACATCATCAGCTATATACAAATAAGAAATTTGTTCTTCTACATAAAATATTAAAGCAGGTTTTAGCAACTACCTGACATAGTTCTTCATTTCTGAATAAAAATATAAACTTTTCGTCATTAGACAAGTTATAAAATTGATCATTATGTTTTACTGCTTCACTATACAATATATTTCGAAGGTCTGCATATAAAGGACATAAAGTAAATACATGTTTTTCGTCTTCAATTTCATTTTTACACATAAAACAAGATCTTTCATTTATTGGTTTATTCTCATATCGTCCTGTTTCTATTTTAAGTGGAGCAACACCACACCTAAATTTTGCATAAGCACTTTTAAATTTAATAGACATATTTTGTTTTAAATATAACTCTGTACAATATTGTGATTTATATAGCTTATAAGTACGAAGCTTGTTACCATTACCCTGTGACAAAATTTTCTTTTGCCATTCTGCAATATATTTATTAAATAAAACGTTTTCAAGTTGTAGAACAATATTTTTATGCAGCACACTATCAATACTAGTATACAAATCAAAATTACAATCTTTAAGTTTTTTCATGACTCTATCACACCAGTTTTTCTTATTATTCACAGCATTTTTATGTGACCATTTGAAAACTTTATAATTTATTCTGTTATTGGTCATGACACTACATCTTGCTCAGTGCCTAAAGATACATGTCCATTGTTTTACACTAGGTAGTCTCTAGGTTTATATAATTGGAGATTAGACGGATAAATAGATATATTTCGTAATTAATATTTTTACAAAAATATAACAATCTGTATTTAGTTGGTAGTTACCGTATTGGTTTTCGTATTGTGATTGAATCAAGTTTCACTTCATAAACAAAGGCTCTAAATAGCCTGTGTCCCTATCTACTAACTTTTTTGGCAGATTGGACCTGATTGTAGATCTTGTCTTGCTCATCATTTTTGTTATTTAAAGTTTCCATCTATCTTTTATAGTTTTCAAGATAATTATAGAACGCCAGAAATAACAAGTGCACTGAAGAATTCGGCTATTAGACTTCTTTGTAGATCTTGTTTTGCTGATCACTTATGCTGTTTAAAGTTTCTATCTATCTATTGTAGTATTTAAGAGGCAAAAAACGCAAAAAAATGGTAAAAATTGTCATTTTAGGGCAATAATTCCAATAAAAAATTGTCTGACAGTTTTGAGGTAAATAGATATTAGGTAGAGCTCAACATTCTGAAAATTTCTGCCCCTGTCAGATTTTCTCTATTTATAGCAGTTTTCAAAATAATAGACAAACCTTACATTTGACCCCTATGTTCTATTTTTAGCCATTTCGGCCATCCTGGTTGGCAAGCGGGGTCTTCGGAAACATTTTTAAAATAGATACCCCAATGATGATTGTGGTTAAGTTTGGTTTAATTTGGCTGAGTAGTTTCAGAACATTTAACGGCCGACGGAAGACGGACGACGACAGACGACGGACGCCAAGTGATGAGAAAAGCTCCCTTGGCCCTTCGGAACAGGTGAGCTAAAAAGGAACCGCTGGTACCAACAAAAGATTGGCCTGGTTAGATTTTTCAATCTTGTATTTACTATTTGTGGTTTTGACTTTGCTTAGTTGGATATTTCTTCCACCTTTTTTTGAATTTACCTTGGAGTTTTTTTGTAACACTTTTTCTCCGTATAGTGAAAGGATGATGATATCGGAGATTTCTCTAAATATATAATTGACATTAATACCGCTTTTAAATGCAAAAGATTGATGATCGCTTGCATTTCAATAACTTCACATTGAAACTATGTTTTATAAACAAAAGCAAACACAACAACTCAACGGAAATCAACAGAAAAGGAAAACGAAATCTATATGTCAATATGCTGCTTTAAACAATATAGTATATTACAAATGTCTAAACAGTTTATGTAGCACTAAATAAATAGCCCCTTTTCTTGACTGGGAAGAAAATATAAATTTATGAGATGATCAAACTAAGGTTTACCATAACCTCAGTGTTCATAAATCAAAAGCATTAACATTTAACTATCAAAGTACTGAAGTACTGAACATCGGATGACCGCAAGTTCTTGTGGATGGTCACAATTAAGCACTTGTCTCAGAAAAAAAAAATCACATATCTATACCTGAAAGTGAGGTTAATGTACAGATATCAATTTTTCTGAGACAAGTTCCTGCGTGGATGATAAATAAATGACAGGGAATTCAACCTCACCGTAATAACTATTATATTGTAGTGATACAAATCAGTATACTCTGGTTTGTTGTTATATATTATATTAATATTTGTATATTACAGTTACATGTATATATAGTTTTCATCCATTTGTATATCATTCTATTCTACTATATTAATAATAGTGCAGTGCAAGTGCATGGTGGACACTCTTCTGTAATAATTCGATTTTTCTAATAGATTGGATTTAAGTAGGCATTCATATTTTCCCGCAAAACGTTCAATCTCCCATGCAGAGTTATCGATCCTTGAGAGAGAACAAGGACCGATAACTCTGCATCGGAGATTGCAAACGTTCTTGAGATATTCTTCCGCATGCATTAGCATAATTTTTTTCTGTACGTGTGCATAGATATTAATGATTTTTTTACTTATATATATATATAACAATACATTTTCACATTATTAATTTATGTTAAAAAAAATATTTGATGAGTATTCATTGAAGAAATGAATTTATAACAAGCGATAAGGAATGTTATTTTGCACTCGATGATGTCCGCGTATTTATAGATTATAGATCGGTTACCAGTCAAACACGAAAGTTACGTAATGAAAATCTCTCTGGCAACAATACATCGGAATGCCCTCACGGTCATCGCGATGTAAAAAATTATCACTATCGAGGTTATTAACTTGAGACAGTCATACGAACATGTGACGTATGGCAAGCCGTTTTTATATTTATTCAATTTCAAGATATCTTATAAAGTAAATAAGATATCTTATAAAGTATATAAGATATCTTCTAATGTTTATAAGATATCTTATTTAATTTGAATCTAATAAGATATCTTATTTATTTTATAAGATATCTTATTAACTTTTAAACATATCTTGTATAGTTTATAAGATATCTTATATCTTTTTAAAAATATCTTTTAAACAAATACTTTATGAGATATCTTGTACAGTTTATAAGATATCTTTAAAAGTATATAAGATATCTTATTTACTTTATACAAGATATCTTATATGATTGATTTATCAGATATCTTATTTAGTTAATATAAGATATCTTATTTAGTTTATCAGATATCTTATTAACTATATAAGATATCCTATTTAAAATAGCATTTTAAAATAAATTCAACAATGAACGCTCCTCTCTTGAACTACGAGGCAGTAAATAGATCATGTGATCGCACTTTCAAAATGGCAGTTGAGAAGAGTCGGTTATAAATAAATATTTGAGATGTTAATATCCAGAAAGCATATGGGTGTAATAATACTATTAGAAATGACAAACTGCGACCTGAATTGATTCTTGGCCTTGAGATTAATCGCGTTACAGACACGTTAGGGAGCTACCCCCCCAATAAAAATCAAATGGTAGCTCCCTTAGCTGTTTCAAAAAGTGTATATTAACTTTTGCAATCAGAATAAAAACTATTTTTTGGCGTCCTAAAGTATGGTTCTGAGCTTTCTTGTATAGTTTATGTTTGATGTGTTTGAGCTTTTGATTTTGCCATTTATTAGGGACTTTCCGTTTTGAATTTTCCTCGGAGTTTTTTTTCAAGCTATTTGAAATATGACATATTATCTAAAAAAAAAACCCAGTTACTGTATATAAAATCTGTTGACTTTGATGCAAGTGATAATCAAGGAAAGATCGTGATGAAAAACACCATCAAAATATAATAACCGTAAGCTTACAACAGGTTTTTTGTCATATTTGGATAGAATAAAAGAGACGTATGGTTAAAAGTATATAAAGTAGGTTCATAAAAAATGTAAATCAAATATGACCATGCCAGCACAAGTGACTGCTTTAAAGAATTTGAAACATCCCCTAGTTTTTGTATCATGTCAGTTTGTGAACTAAGTCTCATTCCTGTTACTATTTCTGGCTGCCGAATTCTGAAAGGAAGAACATTTCGAATTTATCAAAGAAATCCCCCCCCCCCCCCAAAAAAAAAATTATTTCGTAAATTCTTAAATCTATAACAGAAAACAGATTGAAATGAGATTGGCAATACATTTTAAGTGAGACTTATATAGATATATTTCATTTTAAATAAAATATCTTTTACAGTAATTAAGATATCTTATATATTAAATAAGATATCTCATTTATTAAATAAGATATCTTAATTATTAAATAAGATATTTTAATTATTAAATAAGATATCTTAATTATTAAATAAGATATCTTATATATCAAATAAGATATCTTATATATTAAATAAGATATCTCATTTATTAAATAAGATATCTTAATTATTAAATAAGATATCTTTATTATTAAGTAAGATATCTTATATGTTAAATAAGATATCTTATTTAACAAATGAGATATCTTATTTAACAAATGAGATATCTTATTTAATATAAGAAAGGAAGATATCTTATATGTTAAATAAGATATCTTATTTAGTTTAAAAGATATCTTATTAAGTTTATAAGATATCTTTATAAGAAACTATATAAAAGATATCTTATATAGTTTATAAGATATCTTATAAACTCAATAAGATATATTTTAAACTAAATAAGATATCTTATTAACTAAATAAGATATCTTATATGTTAAATAAGATATCTTTATAACCAGTTTAATAAGATATCTTATTTAATTATCAAGATATCTCAATTCATTTATAAGATATCTTATTTGATTATAAAGATATCTGATTTAACTAAATAAGAGATCTTGAAAGTGAATAAATATAAAAACGGCTTGCCATAGTGACGGGATTAACCTAGTCTGTTGAGGACCTATAGCAATTCCTTTTAATCTCGGCCAGCTGAATAATTATAGAAAAGGTACAATAAAAGTATTTACAGAATTTTGCCTTCTGACGTCAAATTTGTTAAATTGGGATGTCAAATTTAACGGGAAATTGTATGATTTCAAGTAATGGCGGACGAATTTGCCTACAAGAAATACGTCTATACAAATCGATTCAGAAAAAAGGCACTAAACCCTACTAATACCGTTTTATAGACTACAAAATAGAGGTGCGTGTACTAACAATGCTAACTAAACCCATATCAAACAATAAATACAAATTTGAAAGCTGATCAAAAAGTACTTAACTTTCTTTGATATAAGCATTGCTTCCCTACAAGCTAATATAGGAAGTTATACTTCAGATTTCGTTTACAGAATCGTCACGAAAAGTGCAAGAAGACGATATTGTCTAATGCCCTAAAATCTTGTTACATGTACTGCAAAATTTCAATATGGAAAACAAGAAGAAACGAAACACCAAAGTATAGTTTCAAACTACGACTGTAGATTGACATCACTCCCCCAAAATATCAGACGTAATGATTTAACAACAGAATTTATATCAAGAAATCTTATGACAAAAATGAAAGATTTAAATGTTCATAGTTTTACTTCTTTACATCCTTGCTGTTTAAAAGAAAGCTATTGTGCTAATGGACAAAGACTTCAAAATGGTAAAGTTGAAGTCATACTTTCGAAAGTTTTGCGGATGACATCATGATTTTAATTACCGATATGGAATATCTGTGTCACAGATGTCCTCTTTTTCCTCGATTTTGACATGACCGAATGCAACTTATCACTAAATTTTAACTTGTAATGAAAAGCACGAGTAAAGCAAAAACTGCTCACCCTCCCGAGCTTTCGGGTTCATCTCCGTTGTTGACTGCGGTTCGTGTTGCTAAACCATTAGTTTTTTGTATAATGGACCTTTTTTGCCTTTTTTGACCATGGTGTTATATATAAAAATAAGAAGATGTGATGTGATTGTCAATGAGACAACTCTCCACAAGAGACCAAATGACACAGAAATTAACAACAATAGGTCACCGCACGGCCTTCAACAATGAGTCAAACCCATACCGCATAGTCAGCTGTAAAAGGCCCGGAAAAGACAAATGTAAAACAATTCAAACGAGAAAACTATTAAACGACCTGATTTATGTACAAAATAATGAACGAAAAACAAATATGATATACAGCAACAAACGACAACCACTGAATTACAGGCTCCTGACTTGTATGTTTTTATTTTACTTATTGTTTTGATTGGCACTCTTCTTAAAAAATATAACATAAAACTGTGTGTAAAACATGTCATTTCATCAAAATCTTGCAATTGAAATCAGAATTCAACAATAAATCCCCATCTTTAGTAACTGTACAGATTTTACTGTATTCAGGATTGTTTCACCAAAACAATATTCTTTTCGCCAACTTATTTTCCTTTTTTCAACAAAATATATTTAAACATGAACAACTTAAAATTATTGTGCATACACGTATCATCATTTAAAACAGTACATATTCTGCGCTCTTTCTTTACTGCTCATCTTTCAAAAGTTCAGTTACAATCAAACGCATAATGTATTCTTGTTGTAAAAAATATGAATGAAATCTTAGTAAATGCAAACACGCCGTTTTCGAACCAATTGAATAAGGAGTCAACAGAACTACCAAGAATTAAAAAAAAAAAAAAAAAAAAAAAAAAAAATAAGAAAAGAAAAGTCGTCACGATTGTCACGGATTTTGGTATGAATGCTACTATGAGTATATCAGTGTTTAAAATGATAATGATCACTTTTAAACGTGTGATTCAGTTTATACGAGGAAGTTCAGGTGGATAAATTTCATTGGCATGTTAAAAACATCTTGATTATTAGAAGAGGATGTGTCGGCTAAATATCTGCAGGTATTAACCAAACTAAATATCAAGTACTACTTTAAATCTGCGGTAAGAGATCCCCAGTTAGTTCCAATTCAAATACTAGTTACTTGACGGAAAACGTCTCCAAACGAGCAAACTAATTCTTAAACAAAAATAAAAAAACAAAACAAACAAAACTCTATTCATTTCTATATTTCTTTGCATGTCCAATAAGTGTATTGCTCTTAATAACTTAAAAAGGAATTTTAATGACATCACCAGTTATACATGTCATTACATAATTTTTAAAAGGGAAACATTTTCTTTGATACACGCTTTGTAATGTGGTATAAATACTTCATAGTAGTAAATGTCAATGAAAACAAACTGACCCCGGAAGTAACGTGCCTTATCAAAGTCCTCAAATGTCTTAACGCTCCCGAGTTCTCAATGTTGCATATACGACAGTGCACCATAAGCCTCTTAAGGCTCGTTGGTATTAATATACATGTTTATTGACTATATACATATGTTTAAAGTTGTAATATATTGTATTACATGTACATGTATCAAGTTGTACTTTAAAATAAAAATATATATCTGTTGCTTTATACAAAATCTGTGTCAGAACTTTTGAGAACTAGTTCCTAATAGTTGCAAAAGTACTTATCAAAAGAACAAAACTTTAAATAATTCAATATTTACTTGATGCAGATATCTATCTAAAATTGTTCCATTTCTTCTATACTAAATAAAAAAGAAGCTAATGCATAATTGGAACCATGTGATATATATTGTCGGCTTTAAATTTAGTTGTTTGTCGATTTTGTTGGATTAACGTCCAGTTTCAAATATGTTATGCATATTCAATACGAGAAAATAAAAAAATCAACAACAATACTAATTGATAAGTTCTGCAATTTAGGTCGACCAGGATAGAGAGGGGACAATAAGAATGCTATTTGAAAAAGAGTGTATGTCAGATATGACGGAAATTTTACTTTACCAAACACCGACGACGAGTTTTAGCATGGGGTTACTACCAAATGGGGGAAATCCTGATGCTTATGCTTTTTCAATACCCCCATGTACTGAACCCTTAGGATTAGTAGTTGTTGAAACTTTTCGATGCTTCAGTAGACGTAGTAGTCATGTAAATATAATTTTAGTATATTGGTATAAAAATGTCTAAGTACTTTGCTGATTTTATTCAGTTGACTGAATAAGAATGTACGCATTGTCATGTTAAGCATATCCTAATTGTTATTCAAAGTATCGGAAAATAAGCAGTAGATGTCGACCAGATCCGAAAAGCGATAATTCATCATTGTTGAGCTGTTGACCAAATAAGAAGTAATTCTAGTCAGTTGTGCCAGAGAAATGTTTGATGAAAAATGCTAAGTTCATTCAACATATTGCAAGCTGAAAAATATTGGCTAACAAGAATAAGGTATGTTACGGATCCGAAAAGTACTCACCCGTTATAACACCTTATTTCCAAGGAACTGTCAAACGTTAAGTTCACTCAACATATTGAAAAAACTTAAAGTATCGACAAACAAGTCAACCTTACAGATCCGAAAAGTGATCATACTTTTCAACTCGTTTTTGATGTGGAATTTGTGAATTTAAAACATTTCTTGTCATCAGTTTTAATCAAACACTGTTATTTTCAATAGCATTTTATACATTTTGATGTTTAAACATTTGTTGACACAAAAAAAAAACTTCTTTCTATTAAGGCTAGTGGCAACACGTATCGAGCCTCTGTTATTTGGGGGCTAACGTCTTTCTGTATTCCATATGGTAGCTGTCAAAATTTTTATCGCCCCATATGAAATGCTGCGACATATCCGGAGAATATTTGCTTGCAGGTGGATTCCGGCCGTATACCTCCGCAACTATTCTAATGAAATGTGATGCATTTCCGCAACAGAGCCCAATATACTGGACTCCAAGTTCTCTCGCCTCCTCTGCAAACTTCCGAATTTGAGTCCTACTGCAGTAAAAAGCTGTTAAATCTTCGGGAAAGGCTTGTCTTTCTAGAATGAAAGTTATTGCAAATTTAATCATCACAATTGTACACCACTCTATAGTGTTAAAATTAAAATATTCAGTTACTTGTAGCCAGTCTAATGAACATTAATGTTGATGTTTTGTATGTAGTTGTAAAATGAGACGTTGTATACCAAATGTGAGTTTTGTTTCGGTTGATCTACTTTGTTATCTATAATTGTTGTCAATTCTTGAAAAAAAAATCTTCTGCTGTCAGTTTTTCATGCAGATAAGAAGAATCTTAGATTATATACATTTGTAGATTTAGTACTTTTAAAATTTAAAAAAAAACTAACACTTGAGCGGGTACGTTCATGTAACAAGTTTTTCATGAATTTAATGTAAGACAATGCATCTCCGCAAATTCTAGTTGTGAATAGGGACATCGTACTCATTGAGTTCATAACAGGTTTATTTAAAGTTGGGAACTCATGTACTTGCAAATTACATATATAATTTCATGTTTATTAATATGTTATTTTTTAGGTGGATACAGCCACACTAATCAATTACGGATACCTATGCTCAAACTGAATTTAGTTGCTAAAGAGTTTTTCTTCCTCAACTGCCAAAAGCATCATTTTCAATTTGAAATCTCACAGGAACATATAGAAGTTATAAACAACTGCAAAAGGTTTACATTATATGCTTATCAAATACATATTGAAATCAACCCACAAAATTTTTAGAATATTAAATCAGAAGTATGTAAAATGGCCATGCAGAATAGCCTATACCGATATATTTGAAAGAAAACAGACCTGTCCTAGGATGAAACCACGTTTAAATTCATGCAGTACCCCTTTTTGATATTGTATAAGAAAAAATGAATTTTGTTTTCGCCGTGGCATAGCCCATGTGTGCTGAATCACTTTTAGTTATAGTTTTTTGGAACCCTTAGTTCAATAGATTCATTGTAAGCAGCAACCGTCTTTTAAGTAAATCATGAAATGAAAGAAATAAAAAGAAAATTGCCATTGTGTTTTTGTGCTATGGTAATTTTTGAATTCACGTCTTTCATTTTCCTTATGTTCTTTGTCTATAGAGTGTTAATATACTATTTTGTTTTTCTTTATTGACATAGTTGTTTGTTTTTATAGTGATTAAGATTATTATACAATGTTGACTGCCCCTATTTTTGACATTTTTACCTATCATGTTTGTTTGTTTTGTTCACACATTTTTGTCAATATAATGAAATTCTATGCGACTGTCATAAAAGTGAGAGGTTCAGCTAACTATAAAACCAGGTTTAATCCACTATTTTCTACATAAGGAAATGCAATAGTTATGCCTGTCCTAAGTCAGGAATATGACAGTTGTTCTCCATTCGTTTGATATGTTAGAGCTTTTGAGTTTACTATTTGATTAGGGATATTCCGTTTTGAATTTTCCTTGGAGTTCGGTATTTTTGTTATCTTTACATTTGACAATTTTAAAGACAATGAGTTTATGACGTATAGAATGTTTCAAGCATTCCAGTACAACTTGAGGGGGTAGGGGGATAGACTTTACCTTCCAATAGATCAAGATCATATGAAGAAAACAAAATTCGTTCAGAGACACTGATCCAGAATCTATGCATCACCATGTAAAGATAAGATAAGATAAAATAAGATATTTTTATTCCAATTGAAGGGCCCATGAAGAGCAAAGTAATTTATTCCAATGATTTTAATAATTGACACAATAATTTTGATAATCATATATAAATATGAATATAATCATCTCAATTTTAAGATCTTAAACCTCAGCCAGACCAGAGCATGTATATGGGTTGACATTCTGCTGTACATGGGTTGCTGAGGTCAGATAATCTCAGAGATTTGAAAAAGATGACTGTTTTTTAATATTCTTTTTTAGAAGTTGGATGGGACATAGAACACAGATATATTTGGATAAAACGATACGAACTCATAAAGAATCATAAACACTGCATTTGGAAAAATGAATAAAGTGAAAGGGAAATACTTTCAATCTATGCAACAAAAAGGAAATGCTCAGTATCCAACGAGAACTTTCTTAAATGTAACGCGAAATTTATCAAAAACTGACGTCTTCTTACAAAGGACAAAAAAAAAACATTATAAAAGATAATTCTGTTTAATATGAAGATTCACCTAAGGAGTTAACACACTTGAAGGTATGATGAAAAGGCAGGCAGAAATATATACAATTCATTCCCTACGCACCACAAAGGTTCATGTTTTGCAGGTAAGAATATCATGTTGGTAAACAGACACAAAAGTGAAGGCCTTCCTGCTGAGGCACCATTTACCAGTTTATGTGGAAACAAAGACACAAACAACAGTTTCCAGCCTGAATGAAGATGCGGTTCTGCTTCATAAAGTTATACTGTTATCAGATTCACAAATGGACAATTTTGTCCATAGCTTTATTAAAGTAACTCTTCGGATGAAAGGTTGACTAATTGTGACCAACAACAAGTGTTTCATGTAAATGCCACTGCTACATATTCAAGATGCCGTCAATAATTTTGAGATTGGATATCCGATTCCAGTTTTGTTTACATTTTTTTTGTATTTTTATATTAAACAAAGAATAAATAAATGGGGTATATTCTAGGTAAAAGGCAATTAATTTATAACAGGAAAGATACAGAAAATGAAAAACAAATTACCATGAATGGGATAAAAACCTTCCTCAAAATCCAACAACTCCAAAATGATTGTCCAGATTATGTGATAAAACAGTTATTATCTTTTCATTCAATAATTGTGTTTTTCAAAAGTGTACATACCAATACAAATTCGTCATCTGAAGATAATAATTACATACTAGTTTATGTATTCAAGATCACCAATGAAAATTATTGTAATCTAGCTGTAACAAAATAAATATTCAAATCCTGCTTTCAAAAGCGAAGTTTCTTTGAAAATGTTCTTTTTTGCATTTGAAAAGACAAACATTCAACTGTTTTTTTTCTACATTTAATTTTGTGCAAAAAGGCAATCATACCACATCTCCTTTTTTATATATAGTTATCCGCTTTTATGACAAACTTTTTTCTATGTAAAATATTGTTTTCCATATGTCTTGTTCCTGTAACGATAGATTGCATTATAAAGTAACTGACATTTTCAAATACTGAAAAACCATGTACATTATTTCATTGCACCTTCAATATTTACCTGTCTCGCGATTGGTTATAGACTGAAATGTAGGCTCATCTGGAGTGGTTCTATAAGGAACAGGAAGTGCCGCCAGAGGACCCTGTTATATAGTATTTATTTTCATTTACCAATAACTATAAAGCTAACACATATCCATATGGATACAATTAACTATAATTTTACTAAGAGAGATTGAAAAAAAAGATGGTGGCAATTGATGAAGGTTTGTCAAGTGTGTTATATTATTCAAAGAATGTCTTTATAATGCTGTATAGTTATATTTCAATGTTGAAAAATGTGAAAACAGAACATTTGGTGACCAATTTTTGCATTTAATTACGACTATCTTCACTTAAATGTACTCACAAAATGTAAACATGTATAAAGACGGACCAACCTATTTGGTATGGATTCTGAGAAAGTAACACCAGAACCAGAACTCTTTTGCAAATACACATCTGGATCTGAATCGGACAATTTTTATTTACAAATCCAGAAAATAGCTTTGGACGCACGAAAGTTATTAAGTGTTATTTTCGTTACCTTATGTATCTCTAATAGATGTTGAACGATAACGTTTTATATTCAAATTTAGTTTTAAATGTTTTTGTACAAGAAAGTGAACAATGAAATCTTCTAGAAAATTAAGTATTGGAATAAACGTTTTTTTTTGGCATGAAAATATACCTTGTATGTTTTTCGAATGTCCCGAATCAAAGACAACATGGTAGTAGGTCCTCTTCCACAGTTTAGTCCTACAACATCAGCGCCTGCAGCGTACAACTTGTTCATTGCATCACCAAACGTTAATCCGTCTACTGTTTTGTCATTGGCATGCGCTATCATTGTTACAACAGCAGGAACTATATTGGACAGAAAAAAACATATAATACAAAAAGGACATTGAACAAGATATTATAAAATGGTAAAAACGCTACAGTATCCAGGTTATTTTGAGAACTTATTGAAAAAAAAAAATACTTTCAAAATCTGCATTGTGGCTTAGTATGCAGTAAAAATAATCTTTAAGGAACAAAACTTATAATTTTGTGAACTTTTGCACTTTGCTCACTGACATTTACTGTGAGACTACATAATCTAGGGAAGGTGTAACATTGTTATCAGTTGTGGATACGAATAACAAAATTTATCTTACCTCCTATACACTTATAGGAATATCATTGGTTAAAAGCGAAAACGTGGATACCCTATTTATTTTATATGGAGTTGGTGGGCGTATTTTATTTTTATATACGGTTAGTAGTGGTTGTTACGTCCTTTTAAAAAAAAAACAACACGGCGTTTAGGAAAAATCTGAAACGTTTCGCCCGGACAACAGATGAAGAAATTAATGATAAACGATTGAAAATAAATGCAGAAAACACATTAAAAGCTAACAAGTTGTCATTGTTGGCATTTGTTTTTGTTTAGACCAATAGAAGTAGGTTCTTAGTATTGAAGACTTGACAATTTGATAGGCCAATAGTCTAAATGCCACATTGTAAGATAAATTCGTTACACGATAATATGTATCTTTTTGTACGTATAAAATAAAATAAGCTACTCTTGTCATGTAATAGTTTTCATTTAACATCCATATCTTTTACACAAGCATTCCAATTTGTAAACAAAAAAGCAAATAAAAATAAGACTGAAAATTAGTATTTGGCTCCTCCGCTTAAAATTCAAAGCATGGTCGGCTCGGAGTCAGAATAATGTGGGCGGGTAATATGTTATGTCTTCCTGCAGACTGTAACTTTGTGAGTTATTACATAAAAAAATCGGCTCATCATTTCAACTCAGTAAAAGGCAGAGTTTTGCAGATGCTAAATTGTTTTCATTGACAGAATATTTGTTACGTTTGAAAAACGTCCTTTTTTTTCAAAAGAGGGTCGGCATTCCCATAAAAACCAATAAAAAAGGAAATGTGATACGATTGCCAATGAGACAAACAACTATCCACCAGAGTCCAAATGAAGTATGCTTACCTATAATGTCTGTTGGTTTTGTTCACACATTGTTGTCAATATAATGGAATGCTATATGACTGTCATACAAGTGAGAGGTTTAGCTAGCAATAAAATCAGGTTTAATCCACCATTTTCTACACAAAAAAATGCCTGTACCAAGTCAGGATGATGACAATTGTTTTTCATTTGTTTGATGTGTTTGAGCTTTTGATTTTGCCACTTGATAAGGGACTTTCCGTTTTGAGTTTTCCTTGGAATTAGTTTTTTTTGTTATTTTACTTTTTATATCTTGATTTAGGTATCTAGAAATCGAGAATGATGATCTGCTGAGAACAAAGCTTTACAACATTAGATGACTTCTATTTTCAAATTTTGAACTTGAGATTTTGTAGAAATATTTCAGAGCGTGCATTCTTATTATTCTTTTCTTGATAGGCGATAGCAGCTTACAAAGAAGCTATTGAACAAACGTGTTTTAACGGACGCCATTTACTTGGTTGACTGTTAAGGAATAAATGTGTCACAGATGACTATGTTCCATATTTCGTAGCTACGATCCCGTCCTCTTATCCGTGATTGTGACATCACCGAATTTGACTTGCCTTTAGCAACAAAAAGATGTGCTAATTGTGGAACAAAAAATGCTTACCCTTCATGAGCACTTTTTGTGGGTTTCGTTTTTGTTTTTGTAGTCTTTTTGGCCATGATAGTATTTGTGTCTTCGACTTATGATTTTCTTTGTTATCTATTTGGCTTTTTTTTCGTATTTAAGGATTGTCTGAAAACGTTCTGACTGGATGTCAGTAAGGAAAATCATTAAGAAAAATTCAAACAGCAACCTTTCCCATATTCTTTTATGCATTCTAGTGCTAATGCTGCTTCCCCATATTCACTGAATGTTTCTGCCACAATATAATCTACATCTTCAGATATAGCCCATTCTATTTGCTCCTGCAAAAGAGGAAGGTAAATGGAATGTATGACATCGATATGACATGACATGATCGAATTAGAAAACAGCACGAAAAGATAAAAACTTAATAATAATTAAGCACACAGTTACGTTACATGAAAGAAGATACCAAAGGGATATTTAAACTCATAAGTTGAAGACTGACAGACAAAACCATGGCAAAAACGAAAATAAACCAGTTACTGTCTAGAAAAGACAACATAGAAAACTAGTCTGAACAACACTAACCCTACTAAAAACCGGACATAACATCAGGTAGTCAGGAAAGGTAATCAGATCAGGCACAAAATAAGCACCATCGAGTTGATTATGCAAATACAAATTTGGTGACAAATCTCGTTCGAGGAAAAGACTGTTGTTATGACAATTTGAACATGTCCGTCGACATCTGAGAAACAGATATTCAATTATGGCCAATACATTTTTTTCTAAGGAATGACTTCATTTTTACCACTTGGAATCCTGGATTTAAAAGCTTTCTTGTAAGCAGCAACCCTTTTCCAAAAAATCATGAGAGGAAACGCTAGCTCTGGAATATCATATTAACTTGTAGATATATATGCAAGCACTGCTGGAATCTTGTTATATAGAAATGGAAAGATTACAACTGGGAAGTTGAAATCATCGCTTTTGTCGTAAAGTGTTGTTCTCAACCTAACCTTAACAGTATCTGTGGTATCCTTTATTTCAATAATTGATGGGATAGATGAGTTCAACATAGTCTAAAAATTTTGAATTATTTAGTGAGAGGACATCATCGTTGTAGGAGAAAGTACAGTTACAAGATAATGCTAGCTTTTTTCATTTGTCATAATAAGTTATAACACAACATCTAAAACTGAAGTTCACTCGACACAAATGCCATATCTTACAAAACCCGACTGTAATATCAGCGGGTTAAGTTGGAAAAAGACTTCCTACACTATGTTGTCCTGCAATGATGCCAACTGTAATTTGCACTATTCAGTAGTAAGTCAGACCACATGTAAGAAAGGCACAGATTCGGGAAAATATTTCCAATCATCTCGGTGGCATTTCCTATGAGAATGTAAACACACTCCTGATGCAGACCAAAACACGTCTCTTTAGATTGTAACAACACTCACAAAGTTGATTCCGAGGCCGCCGTTTTCTTATATTTATATGGACGTCAATGAATATTGACTAACACTTTTTATGATGAATAAACAGACAGTGAATAAAATACATTTTCAATTGTACACTCTTTTTGGTTCATCAGGCCCAGTACCTATCCGACAACTAATTGCTGTTTAGAGGCACTGCATCAACTTTACAACGGAGGCAGATATTACGGCATTTCGCCATCGTATTCTGTAAAAGCCGTTCACAAAAAATGACTTTATATAATACAGATACAATTCTGCAAAGGATATATTTGATAATTTGTAAGCAGTACAATATTGATCTTATACATCATTTGTCTGGGCATTTTTTTTTTCAATATGAAAAATTCCATAACATCAATGCCTAAGAACACACATAGTGCGACCTCTGTATATGGTTGTTCTTCCCTAATAATTATATTTGCTGGCTTGTTTCAACATCATATAATACTTAAATTAAACAAGACACGATTGCTGTATTTTTAAAATTAACATCCAGAATGTTCATCATTAGTTCCGTTATTGAACGTGGCAAAGGCATGGTCGAAAACTTGGAAGTTCATTTTGTAATAAGTATACGATTGGTTTTTTTTTCTGTGGAAACTATTTTTGAGGGAAAACTTGTTGATGTCTTACAACAATATAAGTAGAACAAATGTTTGATGTACATAAAACAACAGTCAATTTATATACAGCCAAACGAAATCATAGCGTTCACACTGAAAAGTGTCACTATATAAATCTTGCAATTAATCATACCGACAACCTCCACCACAGGAATAAGTATTATTGTACTAGTGTTGATAGTGATTTTTATAGTTTGTTCAGATGTTGTGCGGTTACACCACTGTATCAGGTTAGGGGAGGGTTTAGCTCCCACATATATGTGCCTGTCCCAAGTCAGGAGCCTGTAATTCAGTGGTTGTTGTTTGTTGCTGTATATCATATTTGTTTTCGTTCATTGTTTTGTATATAAATCAGGCCGTTAGTTTTCTCGTTTGAATTGTTGTACATTTGTCATTTCGGGGCTTTTTATAGCTGACTATGCGGTATGGGTTTGCTCATTGCGCTAATTGGTGAAGGCCATACGGTGACCTATAGTTGTTAATTTCTATGTCATGATAGAGAAAATTTAATATTTTACCTTAAATATAGCTCTAGATTTCTCTACAGTATCAGGACAATCTCTCTTGTATATGGTAGTATTGCAGATATTTCCCGCTAAAAGAGTATTTGTACGGTCTGCTACTTCCTTTGCCAGCCGAAGCGCTTTTAGATTTAAACTTTTTAGGTCGTCTTCTCTTCCGATGAGCTTAAGCTTCTCTCTGTGACCATAATACTTGAAAATGATAAAAAGAGAAGTGAATTAACAAATGCATTCTTTCGCTAGAAATAAAAAGTATGTTGGAAAATTGCAGCTTGCAGTATAAATAAAAGGAAAAGTTGGAAATACGTTAATTTGACAGCAATACAAAGAATGAAACCTAACAGACAACATATGGTCTTCAATAGTTGTTTTACAGTATGGTAAGCCCCAAATAGTCAATAATCTAGATAAGTTTTCAAAATATTAAAAAGGAAACTACATGAGCTCGTCGATCAATTCCGAGTTCCTTAGATAACAAAATAATTAAGATTTACCAAAAAGACAACCACTGACGAGGTTCCTGTCATGAGAACAAAATCAGTACAAGAAAAGCACTGAATATCGGTATGAAATGTCATCTTTAGACGCCTAGAAACTCGGAAAGGATTTTTCTTCCATAAGGGGTGTCGCATTTAGGTATTATCTGACCTAAAATAGCAGCGTAATTAACATCCCTCACAATCAAACGGATGCCTTTGCTGAATGAACTGTCTTACTGCTGGACGAAGCAGTCCATGTGACCATATTCCTAAACCCATTCAACCCTTGCGATTAAAACCTAGCTCATTCTAAGGTATTCGTTGTATTGCGATATATTCGAATGCAATGTCTATAAATCGTATTCATTAGTTGACGAATGTAAAATTTTCAATCTTCTTATCGTAACAAAGGATCTATCTTAAATTTCATGCCTTCGTGATATTCATGAAAATCTACACATCATATTTATAAAAATAAATGATTAAATGATTATCAAAAAATTATTTTATCTAAATTTATAGCACACTGAGCAGCTAAAAAAGTAAGATTAAAACGTTTTACACAATTGTATCGTTCAAAGATTTACGGCCTAAAATGAATCAGTTTTGCATTAGAATGAAAATGACTGTGTAATGTATTTTAAGCCTTGTTGAAATCGGTAGCTTTTTTTACTATCGCAATTATTCATTTATTTAGCCCTGCTTATGTCACCTAAATTTATGACTACGTTTTAAAAGGTTTACTAAGGCATGACGTTTAATATATGATTCAGTGGGTAGGGTACCCCGGTACAACTTTTTAGTCGCTGAATATTGTTTATTTAAAAGTTACAAAAGATCATCCGTGAAGTGAAAACTTTTGTTTTTGTTGAGAAATACTGCAATCTCAAGTTTACTTCTTTAAGGGGCATTAGTTACCACATTCTCATATTAAATTTATAACATACTAAAACGTATATTCAAATTACAAAAAGGTCTAAAAGAAAGAATTAACAATGATTTGATTTTGATTTTTGGTGTTTTAACGCCACTTTAAAGCACCGCTTTTGGGCTATTTCGTGGCGGCCAGTTTTTATTGGTGGAGGAAGCCGGAGTGCCCGGAGAAAACCACCGACCTTCGATAGGAAAACTGACAATCCTAGTCAATTAAGATTGGAGTCGAGTGCACCCGCACGAGCGGGGTTCGAACTCACAACCTCAGTGTTGACTGGCTAGTGATTACAGTAGTAACTACTTAGACCACTCGGCCACCGAGGCCCCGAATTAACAATGAATGGACATCGTTAAAATGTATCAGTATTTCGTGCGTATTTAAGACTAGACGCCATCTAATTATCGACCGAGATGACCTCCGAAAACTGTCGACAGTCATATAATCCGGTATAAGCCTAAATAGAAAAAACACAGGCATATTGACGATTTGTATACATCTGGGTCAATATCCCTAATGCGCCTCCAATTGAAGAACACAAAAGTTGTGTGTAAACAAAAAATCTCTGTGTAGTGATATTGGACATGTTTCTATTTTTAACAAGTGACAGAGCTTAACCATTTGTGTTGATCTGGAAAGTATAGGACCATAGAATAAATGTGTAAAAACTATGGAGTTATTATATGTATTCAAAGTATTAAATTTTCAAAGAAATTATTGTGTGAAAAAAGGGACTTTTTACCATGAGGAGCCGCGTCACGAAAAGATTTTCGGGTATGCTAATTTACGGAAAAATGAATCACACTTCGTACCCCGAAAATTTAACCACATATGTGAAAATGTCTCGGCTTCGAAACGAGCCATCATACATATCCAAGTTTACGATATGGACTGAGCTACAGAAGAAAAGGTTACCATTACCGCCTATGGAGAAACAATTGCGCATATTGCCCCAATTTGAGAGATGGATCTGAGAAGTTGTCAGACTGATTTATCCATGATTGCATCTTGTACACCAGAGAAAATTGTGAAAATGAAAGTTAGTTGTCTTTTATAAACACCAAGTTATCATAGCTGGTTCTAGATCAAGATTATTTATAAAGATCAGCATCAATTTTCGCTTTTGAAATGTATTACTGGCACGGGGCTGGTGCATTTCTTTTAGGCACAATAAAAACTATGTTTACCCGAGAGATTCCAAAAGTGACTTAAAAGGCACTAACTTCAATGTTCTTTTTTATGGAAATATTTAATATTGTTAAATTGTAAGTGAATATAACACACTAAAGACATTTTATGTCATTATGGTTCCAGTCACTACATACGTGTTGAGGAATAGCTGATAATCAAGGGAAATAACACTTTGTATGAGTATAATTTGACACATGTGTTTTAAACCATTATTTGACTATTATAATTAGGAGCTGGTCACTAAAGTATGCAAATAAACAGACAAACATATTAAAGACAAGCATGTTTTTTTTTACATTTTAATGCACAGTTACAAATCACAAGATAGTTTCTTTTCTCAGAGAAAAAGGGGAGGGTCAAACCTTTTCACCTATTCAACTATAAAGCTACTATTGATTGTTCCTCATTTAAAAGGTTAAAATTAAGATTGTGAAATCACAAGGGGGAAGCAATTTCCTTTTTAGTGATAAAACTTTTCAAGAGTGTGATTTTTTTTCTCTATAAATAATACAGTTTGTATTAAATGAAATGATAACACAACCTGAGTCAATTTTTTGTCTTATTTCAGTTTCAGACGTATCGTTCCAGTTTAACCTGAGACGGCAAATAAGAGGTTTTAAAAAGTTCTGAATTACTGGTAAGCATTTGGTTTTATTAGGCAAAATCTAAATTGTTTATTTCTGGTATTTATGCAATTGAAATAACAGTCAAAGTTTTGAAAATATGCTGATATGTAAACTGTTGCTATGGTTTTGATATTATATAAAAATGCTTAGTTACTAATCTTTTCTTCTCGACATTTTAAGTTAAACCATGAGGCAACTGTTCGTTATCTAACACTGCAATCTGTACTTAGCATTATTTTAATCGATCGTTATTTAATGACATCATAATACATGTGATGTCATTATGTTGTCTTAAAATCTTAAAAACTCATGTGCATTTCTTACTGAAAAAGAAAAAGGGTTTCACTGTAAAACATTTAAAAAAAACCTTTTTTTTTAATAGAATTATGTAAAAGGACAAGTTTGGAAAATTTGCACTTCATTGCAATTTAATTATATGATAAATATAACATTCACAGCAGTTTAAGGTGGTTTCTATAGTTGAAAATATCTGATTTCTGCTGGTAAAAAAAAATAAGTATTTTAGTGATTTTTTTTATGAAATCTGCATTTTGGCATAATTTCTCAGTCAAAATGCACTTTTAGACACATGAAAATTTTATTAAATGCTTAAACTGGTTCTGTATATTGTAATTGAAGGTTAAAATCATATGTTTTATCCATATTGTGACTTGTGAAGGTATACTAGAAGAAGTTAATTATACTTACACATTGTATTCAGAATTAATGAATATAGCGATAAAAGTGTCATTGTCGTATAGTGCTGAAACAACTTTATTTTTTTTCAGAAATGAACATAAATACACAGATTTATTCAGAAAGTCATACCGAAGAAGATGACACAAGAATATTTGAAAAAATCAGAACTATGGATTTCAATATGGGTCAATATCCCTAATGCGCCTCCAATTTAGGAACACAAAAGTTGTGTGTAAACAAAAAATCTCTGAATAGTGATATTGGACATGTTTCTATTTTTAACAAGTGACTGAGCTTAACCATTTGTGTTGATCTGGAAAGTATAGGACCAAAGAATAAATGTGTAAAAACTATGGAGTTATTATATGTATTCAAAATATTAAATTTTCAAAGAAATTATTGTGTGAAAAAAGGGACTTTTTACCATGAAGAGCCGCGGCACGAAGAGTTTTTCGGGTATGCTAATTTACGGAAAAATGAATCACACTTCGTACCCCGAAAATTTAACCACATATGTGAAAATGTCTCAGCTTCGAAACGAGCCATCATACATATCCAAGTTTACGATATTGACTGAGCTACAGAAGAAAAGGTTACCATTACCGCCTATGGAGAAACAATTGCGCATATTGCCCCATCTGTTTGACTTCACGTTATAGATTAAAATATATGTGTATCATCGTTTATCTGTGTAAGAATTATTTTTTGTGGATCAGATCAATCAACAAAATGGTTTTTCCTGGTGTCTCGCGATCTTCTTTCCCTTTTCGATCTTGAAATTTGTTTCTTTTTAACGAATGAACCACATGCTAAAACATTCTCAATCCTCCATACTAAGGTCAAATTAAAGGTTGCCTGAATACGAATTCAAATAAGGTTAAATCATTGACTGGCAAGTCAATAATATATTAGCGATGTGTTAAGCTTATTTTGACGAAATCAAACCTTCATGACTGATGCTGGCGACAAATTTTTTCTTTTCCCTCTTTTATCATTGTTTGAAACAAATCAAAACTATATTTTAATTATTTGTCTAATTCGTAATTGATGCCGCTTTAAACAAACGGGTTATCATTTTCTCTGGTATTTCTAATAATGTCCGATGGTTTCATCGATGAAAAAACTCTTGAATATTTGAAACCAGAAAATCCAAAACCTGGCAGATTTTATCTTTTATCAAAATTTCATAAGGCCAATAACCCAGGAAGACTTATTGTTTCAGCGAACGGTCATCTGACGGAAAAAATCTCGGAATTCGTTGACTTCCGTCTTCATCAACATATTGAAGACCTACCATCTCACATCAAAGACACAACCGATTATCTTAAAAAAATGCAGGCCTTAAATCCACTTCCCTCCGACACGACACTTGTCTCTATGGACGTCACCTCCCTCTACACGAATATTCCACATGTAGATGGTATTGATGCATGTAAAGAAGTTTGGGATTCCCGACCAGTAAAATATCCACCTACTGAAAGCCTGGTCAAAATGCTCACGCTGGAACTAAAGAACAACAACTTCACCTTTGATGGAGATCATTATCTTCAAGTTAATGGAACTACTATGGGTACCAAAATGGCCCCATCATATGCCAACATATTTTTGGGCAAATTAGAAAAACAACTCCTTGAATTTTCAATCGAAAAACCGCTTTCCTGGTATAGATTTATAGATGATGTGGATATGAAATGGAATAAAAGTGACGAGGATTTAGATACATTCATCACTCATGCCAACAACATACATCAAAATATCAAATTTACTCATGAGAGATCTAAATCCAAAATCACCTTCCTCGATACTTCCATCTCCCTTACAGATGGCATTATATCTTCAGACCTATATTCTAAGCCTACTGATACTCACCAATAACTGTCCCCTAAATGTTGCCATCCTGCTCATTGTACTAAGAACATACCGTACAGTCAGGCACTCAGAGTCAAGCGAATATATTCCAACACAGAAATAACTAAAAAACGACTGAGTCAACTCGAAACCCGTTTGAAGAGAAGGGGCTATAAACACAGAACTATTCAAAAAAGTTTTCAGAAAGCGGAAACTATTCCAAGGAGTAAACTGTTAGAATACAAAGATAAAAAGATAGCTTTTAGGCAACCCAATAGTCTGCGGAACCAGCTGGTGCGGGCAGAAGTGTCTGATCATAGAAGTACTTCTGGAGAATGTCGTTCGTGTAATGAAAAACATCCTAGTGATTAAACAGAACATTCACTGGAGTGATGCCCAGCGACAGGTTCGGGAAAGCTTTTGAATAAAGGAACTAAATGTACACCATCCAAACGGCATCAATAGGAAATACTAGCAGTTTTATTCTACACTCATTTTGGGATGTACAAATACACAGTCACATCTATTGAGTATCGAGTTTTGTTTTATATTATGATGTTCAAGATTTGGGATTAAATCAATACACCAAAACTTTACCTGTATTATTGAGCTATTTTTACACATACAATTAGTATTGTTAAAATTATTGACGCTGACGAAGTCTATTTGTTAAGCCGAAATATTTGTCAACACGAGTTTATAACATCATCTTCGTATATTACCATCTTGTATTAGTAGCGTTGTGCAAATCTTTAGACTTATATATATATAATGTCTCTTCAGTGAGGTTAGGAATCGAAACGGTATTTGGAAGGCCATATAATTTACCTCTATTTAGGATAGACTCTTGAATTTTGAAGATTCGAAATAGGATGAACGGATCATATAAACCCGAAGGCAAATATAATACAAGCCCAAACGAAAAAATATAAATAAGTCTAAATTGAAAACAACGTTCAAATAGTTATCAAAGGTACCAGGATTATAATTTAATACGCCAGACGCGCGTTTCGTCTACATAAGACTCATCAGTGACGCTCAAACCTATGATTGCGTTGGATAAATATCGCAATGTGTATACGTAAGCATGCAAAACAAATTTAAATACAGCACACACAACCTTTTCCAAAAGACAAAAAAAGTTAAAAAGTATATTAAAACAATATATACAAGTCTAAATTGAAAACAACGTTCAAACCTATGATAACGTTGGATAAAAACCGCAATTTTTATAAGTGTGCATGCAAAACAAATTTCTAGTTAGAGGGGTCTAAATATATATATATATATATGTTTTAATTCTGTTCTTGTTTTATTTTATTTAACATTTGAATTAAAAACGCGATATAGTCTTTTTGCACTGGTGCAAACATCGATCAATCAAACGTTCAACGGAAAGCGTTTTAAATAACTAAAAATGAATTTAGGTTTGGATATAAATCGTAGCGACACAGTTGTAAGTTTTGAAATTTATTCTTACTGTAAATGCCAGTACTACATCACTCCCTGCATGTACGTATTCTTCATGCACAGCTTTTACTTGTTCTGGATGCTCCAACACAACTTCGGGAACAAAACACCCAGCACGTAAATATCCTCTTCTTTCAAATTCAAAAACATACCCTTCTGCAACTATGATAATATCGCCAGCTTGTATTCTCTCTTTTATTCCTTAAATAAACATGAATAAACGTATATTCACTGAAAGTTTCTGCCACAATTTTTTGCCAAGTACAAGGCCTATAAAACCAACTTTAAACAAGGTACAAGGAAAAATATAACCGAATGCTCCGTGGAGCATAATCCGCTCAACTGAGACACTTGGGAATATCAAGACCCAGTTTTATTTATTTTCTGTTTACAGTTTAAATTTTCAAAATGATAGCCAACTACTGCAAAAAAAGTTACTCATATGAAAAATCGATTTTTACTGTTCGCAATTCAAGATAATAGTTAAAAAATTTTAAAGAATTTTTACTGTTCGCAATTCAAGATAATAGGTAAAAATATGAAAAAAACATTTAAAAGCAGTTCAGATAAGGAGTGAATGAGTGAATGAACAATTCAGTCATGTTGATCAATTTGTATGTATAATATTTTTCAAGATAACACCCACAAAAACACTGATAACTTCAACAAAGAGTCGTGAACTTGCATGAAATTTTTGCCACTGGAGTTCAGCAACCAGCCAACAACCAATCAATCAATAAAGAATGAATTGAAGATTTCTTTTACTTTGTTTGTAAATTATTAATGATTTTTACAGTTTCTGTCCATCTATTACAGTTTTCAAGGTAAACAGTAACAATAGTCATTTGAGGGTAGTAACTTCTGTAAGGAGTCCACTCAATTTTTCACTGATATCCTTTCTTGCTGATTTTATTTGTTGTTTTTTATAGTTCCCTCGGCGTAATATATATTATAGGTCTCAGGATGTAAGCAAAAAAAAAAAAAAAAAAAAAATTCAAAGACAAAAACTATAATCCAATTCATGAATACATCGCAGTCATGTTGTCCTATTTGTAGACCTTTATAGGCTGACTTCATACAGGAACTTCTTAGAAAGATAAGAAGTTAGCAATATCCTTTAACTCTACGTTCCGCTATATAGATGATGTTCTCTCACTAAATAATACAAAATTTGGTGACTATGTTGAACGAATCTATCCCATCGAAATAGAGATAAAGGATACTACAGATACAGTTAAGTCTGCCTCATATCTTGACTTACATCTAGAAATTGACAATGAGGGTCGGTTGAAAACAAAACTTTACGACAAAAGAGATGATTTCAGCTTCCCAATTGTGAACTTTCCATTTCTATGTAGCAACATTCCAGCAGCGCCTGCATACGGAGTATATATCTCCCAATTGATACGATATTCCCGGGCTTGTGTTTCCTATCATGATTTCCTTGATAGAGGATTGCTGCTCACAAGGAAGCTATTAAGCCAAGAGTTCCAAACGGTGAAGTTGAGATTATCCCTTCGTAAATTTTACGGACGCCATCACGAGTTGGTTGACCGTTATGGAATAACCGTTTCACAGATGATATCGGATATGTTCCTTATGTCGTAACTACAATACCCTTCCATTTTCACGAATGCGACTTACCGAATTATACTATTTACCGGATTTGTAATAACATAAGCAACACGACGGGTGCCACATGTGGAGCAGGATCTGCTTACCCTTCCGGAGCACCTGAGATCACCCCCAGTTTTTGGTGGGGTTCGTGTTGCTTAGTCTTTAGTTTTCTATGTTGTGTGATCTGTACTATTATTTGTCTGTTGGTCTTTTTATTTTTTGGCCATGGCGTTGTCAGTTTGTTTTCGATCTATGAGTTTGACTGTCCCTCTGGTATCTTTCGTCCCTCTTTTTTTTGCATCATTTGTGTCTTAATCAATTTCTGTCTATCTATTTTACTCTAACAAACAATAGTAAAAACACCCTAATAGTTTATTTTCATCATTCAATGGTATGACTCCTATAAGGAGTAGATTGTTAGATTGATAGTTGTTTGCTTTAAGTCAAGTAGCAAATGTTTCATGCATGTTCAGGACGAGAACAAATTAATAATATATAAAATAGGTAGGTGAAAAATGAGGGTATATTGGATAGATAAAGAAACTTAGCCTTGCAATATGCCACATAAGAACACCTCAAAGAGTTATAGCAAAGGTTTTGAACCCGCAGAAATCGTGGCACTCTTTCTACACGAGGCTTTGGACTGAAAGTGGGTGTGTATTAATACCTCCCGCACTACAATACGGGCGGCCAATTGTTGTAAAGGTCTCAGTACCGGTCGAAAAGACCAAGAGTGACCATATGTCTATACCTCAGTAACCATGAGGTTAGGAATAGACAGACGATTCAAACAATTTGTATTATTTGTAGATGATTTAAGAGCTGATCATTTTAGATTTTTACAGGACAATAACTCCTATATGGAATCAATTACTGGGTTAAGCCATTTGAAACTTTTGTAGATAATTTTGACTGTTTACAATTTATGTCGGTCTATCATAGCTTTGAAGATAATAAACGAAAACTCAAGAATGAACGTAGATGACGGACGCCAAGTGATGTCAACGGTTCACATATCCTGAAATGGTCAGGTAAACTGATAAATAACAAAACCCTCTCCATATAAAAATGTAACTGTATCGTAATATCAGTACATTCAAATACTTAAATACTCAGTTACATGTTTATATATTGTTTGAAAAGACCTTTTCTGAAAAACGGAAAGTATTAAACATTACCTTTTTTCGGCATTATCCTTTTAATGTATGCTGATTGCACGTTTCTATCTTTCTATCTGTTTAAAAGAATAAAGTAAATATGGAAATTATAGATATCAGTTACCTAGCATTATCTAGTATTTACATATTGTCTGGCAAGAACAATTACAATATTAACTGTGCTTCAGATGCAGACAACAATCAACCGAGGCATTACCTAGAACATAAATGAAAGTGGGACTGACTTTGCAAGGAGGATTAATTTGTAAAACAGTTGAGAGAATAAAGTAAAGATTAATTTTGACTATTCAAAACATCAATATTCTGTCATTTTACAATACTTTATTTATTTAATCATTTATGTGTTTCTACGAGATTAGGCAAACATGTGTGTATTCCTCATCCATGTCATTGAATAACTCTTAACGATAAAAGTAAGTAAGCTTGATTTGTAAAAAAGGTTTATTTTTCTTTTCTGCGTGATATATAACAGTTTAGAAACCTTTCAGATTCATTAATTATTCTTCGTTGTGATAATTGATCGTTGTTTGATTAACGTGTAGTGGCAAATATTTTTTATGCATATTCAAAACGAGGACACCTTTAACAATTCTCCTTCTACTAGGTAGATGATTGGAATGAAAGCATATTGACAAATAATATTCATTGATACAATCACGTAGTATGATATTTTCTCAGCTGCACTACATTTAATGGATATGTTTGATTTTATTGTAGCACTTTTACATTATTTTAAATATTATAGCTTTTTCAAAAGTCTGTGATATGTTTTGTGTATAAGTGTACTTACTTTAAGTTGAATTAACAAGGTTAATTTACGGTATGAACACAATAAGACGTGACTACCTTGACTCAATGACTCAACTTATCAGTGAAAACAGCTAGGTCAACCTGAGAGGTCAACCATGATAAAAGACGATAAAATTCGTATAATGCATTGACACGCCTTTTAAGTTGTTTTTAAACAGGTGTACGAACATTTGCAACTATTTAGCTCAAGCTTACACCCCAGTTCTATTGTTATACTTCATAGTTTCTATTTCTGAAACAACTGTAAATTGAATAGATCTATTGTTACGAATAACAATGGATTTTGACCACAGGGTGTGACGAGCGGGGTTTCTGGAAACCCCTGCTTCTAAATCCTGCAAACAAAGTCCATTGTTATTCGTAACAATAGAAATTGATTATTTTTTAAATAGCATGAACATAAGAAATAACTAATAGTGTTCACTACAAATTGTTTCATGATATTAAAAAAAAAACACATTTTAGGAACTATATGGAATTCAAAAATAATCCTTACTATTACGAATTAGCCGCAAAACAGAGACACTAACTTATGCAACTCTTATTGTTAACGTCAAAGACTGTAACGTAACTAAAGTAACGTATTGAAACGTCATATCATTATTACGCTTATTGTATGTATAACGTCTCTAGTCAGTATAGTAAACAGAGTTTGAAATATACACACGTCTTTCTATAATTAACACAAGCGAAGTACTACCACTAAACCCAGAAATTGGTGCCGTGACTTATGGAGAAGATAAAAGCTATACGTGGCGAACACAGAAGCGCCGTCACCAGACTTGTAAATAGAACAGATGAAAAAATTGCCGAAAATGACATTTCTAACCAAGAACTATGTGCAACAGTAGAAACACTCGAGAAGAAAAGGGACGTTTTACAGGATTTGGACAACAAGATTATTGACATTACGGAAGTCGGAGAAATGGAACAAGAAATATTAGATACGTATGTCTACACTTTTCAGATGGAAATCACCATTCGCAAATTTAAGGATATACTGTAAGACTCAAAGGCAAGTGTACCACAACAAATGGTGAGTGATTATGCACATTTTTCATCGCATCACACTACTAATAGTATACTCAATCAGAATTGTAATCAAACTCATGAAGATTAAGAAACAAACCCGTCACAACACATTCCCGTAATCCCGTCAAACTTTTATCACAGGCTACCTAAACTTGATTTACCGACATTTTCCGGGGATATCTTAGCATGGCAAACCTTATGGGATTCTTTATAAACAACAGTGCACACAAATCCGTCTCTCACAAATGTCCAGAAATTCACCTACTTGAAATCCCAAATAGTTCAGGAAGCGGAGCAATGTATTTCAGGACTAGCTCTCACTAGCGCCAACTATGAACAAGCAATTCATCTATTAAAGGAGCGTTTTGGACAAAAACAAAACATTATCAACGCATACATGCAAAACGTATTGGAATTGCCCAGCCCGTCACTATAGCCAACCAATCTAAGACATTTTTACGACAAAATGGAAACTAGTATACGGGGATTAGAGTCACTAGGACAATCGCAAGATACCTTTGGGTCACTACTTGTACCGATTATATTTGGTAAACTTCCCACTGAAATGCGTAAAAGTCTAACTCGGGAACATTGTAATAACAGCTGGAATATTAAGTCATTGAGAGAACCCATTGGAAAAGAAGCATATGAACAGGAAGCCGGAAATTTCAAAATGTCGGACACTTTGACACCTACCGCATCATTCTATATTGCAGCAACACCAAGGTACAACACTAGTGTACAACAGAACGGAGGAAATAAGAACAAAATAAATAAGGTAAAATTATGCGTGTTTTGCCAAGAACCACATTTTGCATCAGACTGCTTAAAAGTAGCAACAAATGAAAAGCGCTATGCGTTTATCAAACAGAAAAATCTTTGTTTTAACTGCTTTGGAAGTCACAAAATTTCAGAGTGTACGTCAAAATATACATGTCGTAAATGCTACAGAAAGCATCACACTAGCTTATGTCATAAGAAACAACACACTGAGAACCAAACAACCAGACAAACAAGCGCAGCCGTAAATACTATGAATAGTGAAGTAGAAACACACACAGCTACAGTTTACACATCGTATGAAAATCCCGTGAAACAGAGAACCGACGTACTCTTAAAGACAGCAGTATCACAAGTTTCAGTAGGCACAATTCCACTGTAACAAATATTCTTTTGAACGAAGGGTCACAACAATCTTTTATCACGGAGGATCTAGCAAAACAGTTACAATTAAAACCCTGTGGAATGAGTACACTCAGTCTTGCTGCCTTTGGAGAAACTAATCGTAATGTAAGAAACCTAGAAAAAGCCGTTGTTCATTTGGAGACTATACATGGAGGTAAACTATCAATGGAAGTACTCATAGTACCAACAATCGCCGCACCGCTATCAAATCGTCCCCATTACGAAGTGTTAAAGTTGTCATATCTTCAAGGTATAGAATTGGCCCATCCTATGAGTAAGGATGAACATTTTGATTTAGCTATGTTGATTGGAGCAGATTACTACTGGGACATCGTCGAAAACGATATACTACGAGGAATGGGTCCCACTGCAGTTAAGTCAAAACTGGGATATTTATTGTATGGACCAATGCCAACAATAGAAGAATCAATAATACCAGCTGCTACGTTGAATGTATTGGTACAACACAAGAAAGAAGGGGAATATCTGGAGCTATTTTGGAAATTGGAATCTGCAGGAGTAACGCGTGATGAATCTACAAAAAAGGACAAACACTACTACGAGACATACGAGTCAACTCTATCACATCGTGACAATCACTATAGAACAAAATTACCATGTAAAGAGAATTTGCCTGACCTATCGAGGACCTATAACGTAACTAAGAACAGAATATCGAGAATTATCATTAGACTGAGCAGGGAACCAGAAATACAGAAATTATATAGTATCCGATCAAGGAAAAAACGGATTGACTAATCGTCCAATTGATCAAATATACTCATTGACTGGAAGTTTCTAATGAGCATTCACAAATCGAAAAGGCTACCAAATTTCGTCGATCAAAGGAAGAAAAATGGACATTGTAATTTTATGTTTGTGATTTACATAGAGACTGTTCAGTAAATTTAATTTCTTTATATATGAACTTTAAAGAAGTTATTCGTTTTAATACATGGAATTTAAAGTAATTTAAAATTAAGGTGAATGTTTGGAATTTTCGATTTTATTTAAGTTTTTTCTTTTTCACTTTCCTGCGGCCGGAGTATTACGAATTAGCCGCAAAACAGAGACACTAACTTATGCAAATCTTATTGTTAACGTCAAAGACTGTAACGTAATTTAAGTAACGTATTGTAACGTCATATCATTATTACGCTTATTGTATGCATAACGTCTCTAGTCAGAGTTTGAAATATACACACGTCTTTCTATAATTAACACAAGCGAAGTACTACCACTAAACCCAGAAAAATACTCTTAATTTTGCTTGAAGGTAATTTTTTTATCCCAGCCATATGTCTCTATTCTAAAGCATTGATCTTTAAAAACCGTAACCCCCCCCGGTTACCCAGTGGTCGATCCGGGGTTGGGGGTTCCGCGGGTTGGACCCGACTTTTATTTAAAAGATCAATGCATTTGAATTGTTGGACCCCCTTTTTCTCTTGATTTGGGAACCCCCGGCTTGATCAGCCCCTGATTGCCCCCCCCCCCCCCGCCCAAAGGGAGTTCCTCGATCAATATTAAATATTGTATGTTGAGCGTGTCTGGTAGTCGGGTTTCTAATGCAGACACACATATCCCTTAGTTTGTTCTAATATGAATGTTTGTTTATTCTCGAGAAGAGGGGAGTGGGGGGTTGTTTTTGATAAAATCGTAAGATATAAAATACAGTTATGATTACCTTTATTAAACTGATACAGGTAAGTACTTTGGGTTATAATATTGCCTTTATCTTTAGTCTCTTTTACCAAATCCAACGCTTGCCACAAAATGTCGTCCGTCTTATACCCGTCCATATTGACAACTGTATACCTGGAGCATGATGTGTTTTTTGTTTGTAATAAGAATACACGTAACACTCAACCTTGACCTGCTGATCCATTTAAGCACATGGATTTAACGGGAATATGCAAAACAACTTTACATTTGTAAAATATACTCACTTGTCAAAGTTTGAACGAAGATAACCAAAGAAAGGTTACT